ACATGAAAATGGTCTCAATGAGTTGAAAATCTATAGAAAGAGCAGAAATTTGTCAGTAAAGCTGAGGACATTATATAGGTTTGGGCCCCCTATCAGTTAAGTTTGGAACTGCAGAGTCATTTTTGTTCCAATCTTACAAAGTGAGCTTTAGTCCAGAAATAAGAATAAATTTCCATCATTTTGGGCATGCAGGTAGCTTCAATAGAGTTGCACACGATTAGATACAAGTTATGCAAATAAGGACTTAATTTGCATAGTCAATGAGGAATTACTGCAATTCACAAAACCTATGGTATGAACGCTAATATCTCATTAAAAATGCTCCTTTTAGGCCACACCAATTTAATTTCTTGGTTAACGGATTTTTCTAGAAAAATAATGGGGCGGGCAGGCGAAAAAAAATAAAATAAAAACCGGCTTAGGCATCCTATTATGGCCCAAAATGGTACGATAGGAGGCATGAAGTCATCAACACATGTACACCAGGCTGGTTCAAAATTTAAACAATGAATTTTGAACTTTTAATGATACCATTGCATTGAAAGATGGAATGACTGTAACAACTAGGATGAAAAGGACTGTTTTCAACTGTTCAGGGCAAAATATGAGCATTTTGCAGTTGATTCTGGATTTTTATTTTTATTTGCAAATCAGAAAAAAATGAAGCGGCGAATCTGTTAACCAAGAAATTAAATTGGTGTGGCCTTAGTAGTAACTTTACCCCTGGAAACCTTCTTCAAACTGATTAAAAGGCATTTCATATTTCCAGGCCCCTTGTACATGTATACTAATATTAGTTTCATGCCAAAAGCTCTAATGTGCAAAGGTACATCATTGGAAAAATTCTAGGTCAAAGTCTATACATACACAACATGTACCAATATTGTAGCACATACTGCCTCCCCAAAAGTCCCCATAATATTAACAAACGTATATTACAACAACCTTTGCAGGTGCTTACACGTATGCCTTATAGTTATACTATGGTGCTACCATAATAGATATAATGCACAGTTACATCTACAACATTGTTACGTTGACTGAAAATTAATGTGGGATAATATTTCTATATATCTGTGCCCAAACTGCAGTCACTGTGGAGAAAGAGTCAGGTGACTTGAGAGCATATAGCAACCACAGTAAACTACTGTAAAGTTGACCCAACCCTACACATACATGTACTACGATGTAGTCCCCCAGACAACACAACAACCCAGGCTATCATAATATGTCAGCTATCATGCAATACATGTTGTACTTCATGACAGGGTGATCCTTAAAAGCACTGTAACTTAGGTGTAAGGCAATTTCGGGAACACGATACCAAAATCCGTGACCCTAGCATGTCTAGATTATAAGATAATTATCAAAACCAGAAGTTCTGCTACAGTACGTAGCTGCCAAGGGGGCAAAATCTAATCATTTCCAGGTCTCATCAAGACCTACCCATGTAGTACCAAGTTTCTTGACAATCTATCTAAAGCTTCTTGAGTTACTGTGCTAAACCACATAACATAGTACACACACACACATACGTGTACATTTTGTACACACACACACATACACATGTACAAACGCTATGTTAATTAGTGTAAAACATAATTCTTGGCAAAGGTAAAACTTACTGAAACGAGCCACAGTAGATAATTATGAAATCAATAAAAAAAATATGTAGAATATGGAAATGTTATTGTTGAAGACCTGGCAGATGAATGTTGAAAAGAAGATTGTGACGATTTAGAATTATATGTATAAATTTTCATTTTGCTTATTATCTATTGCTGAAACTAATTGTATTACTGAATAACGATGCACTGTGATTAGGACCCCAGACCACCCTCCCCTCCTTGGCTTTAGCTCTTAAAAAGTGGCTTGGGCTGTCAATAGCTTCTAGGTTAAATAAAGGTCAGAAAACAAACCTAGATCTTTTTCTCTCAAATACAAATCAAGAAAAAATGAAGCGGGCAAATCCGAGAACCAATTTATCAAACTGGTGTGGCCTTAGGCTAATTATTAAGAATCAAAAAATCACAATTTTAGATATGATTGAGTAGTACAGACTTGTAGTATTAAACAGTTCAGCATACAATTGCAAGCATGGTCGTTTTCCAGGCAACTTAACAATTGTTTCTATGATTAATCCCCAGTACTTACTAAGTGTACATGTAAGGCCATGTTGATTTGATCATATGGATGACATCCGCGCGAGCATGAATTTTCGGCCGTTTCCAAAAAAAAAAAAAGTTTTCAACCATACTGTAAATTGTACAAAACAGTTGCAAAATGAGCAAAAATATACCATAAATTACAAAAAAAAATAATAAAAACTATACCAATGTCGTAGAATGCCAAAATCAAACGAAAAAAGACGAAATTGTAAAGAAATGAACTTGAAGACTAGATTATTCGCCAAACCATATTCTGTGCCATTTGCTCAACCCTCATGACCACGTAGATTTCATAATGAAAATAACATTTTTTTTTGCAAAACTTTTTTTTTTATTCACACGCGTGCATCAGTTTTGGGGCTCCCGGAGGATGTCATCCATATAATCAAATCAACATGGCCTAAGTGCTTGCTGTCATTTTATGTCAAAGTTATATTGGATACATGTTGATAAGAGCCCCACCCATTGCCTACACAGAAAGTGCAAACAAGCATGTGTTCTTGGAAGTCCTGCCTATTATATTTGCACATTCATTACTACTAGTTCTACTGGTAGAAATACTTTTTGCATTGTGCTGCAATATTGCAGAAAGTCAAAATTCGAAAATACTTTGGCACAAAATTTAATACATGAATTTATGTTAGTTATAAGTCTGGATCTGAACCCATGGCCTATACAAAATTGCATAATAATGGCAACCGTTTTGCAATGTCTTGCAATTTGAAAAATTATGTCATGCAAAATTACTAGACTAGTATATTACAATGTATATATTCAGCTTTATTAGTCATTTCCTACATGCAATTAAAACACTGCAAAGTATTCCTTGGTGATCTCAGTCCAAATTAAAACAACAATGCAAGATAAATAATAAATAACAACACTTAGTACAGCCACAAAAATAATTGCATGACGTGAACAGTACTGGCAAAGTCATTATAATAACAATTTTCACAGTAAAATTGATACCGTGATATACCTAAATTAAGTAGTCTGACAGAAAAAAACATTGGTTGGTTCTTAGATTTTTTGAAAATATGGTTAACTGGAAAAACCTAATGATAGCAAAGTCTGAGGACCTGGTTGATGCCTCAGTGGACTCAGTGTTATGTAGTAAATACAGCCATATTCAAGTTTTCTTCTTAGCCCTTTCATTTTATGATGTCCGCTTGCAACTAAAAATGTCCGAGAACCAACAAAATGAATCGGTGTGGCCTTGAATGTCTATGAAGCTGGTACTAGTTGTGGACCAGTAACACCGACTGACAACCTGTTTACTCAATCAATAAAGGCTGTGGATACTGTGTCAGGTTAGCACAGGGTGACCTTTCCCTGTCTGACACCTCACAGTCACCCACAATCACCACCAGTCTAACAACCACACTGACAATACAGTCCTCATCCTCTTAAGCACTGTCCTACCAGATGAAACATCTCCGACAGTACCCTATGTTCTGTATAACCGTTACTAGTGTTAAATTGACTGGAACAAACATTACTCATACAACGTACGTGTGCCCCCCTCCCTACCGCTCAATGGAAAACAGTCAGGCTTACAAAGAAAGTGTACCGGCTATACCAAAACTGGTAGAAGGAGACTGTTGTGACAAAACTTAGCACAACAGTTGAACAAAACACAGATAAGTAGGTGAGTTAATAGGATTAGAGGAGATAAGAATGTCTCACCCAACCAGCACCCAGCAGTGGGACTCGCTCAACTAGTGACCTTTGAACCTTGGCATTTTTTTCTACAAAGGCCTTCTAATGGCCTGTTCCATTCTTCCCTGGGGGAGGTATCATGTAGCTTATATAAACTGAACCTTTTCTCCTGGTACTTGTGACTTTTTTCAGTGGGTGCAAGGGTGCACACAAATATTTTCGTAGGATTGTACTATGTAAAGATGTTAAATGTATACTTCTATACAGCATCATACATGTGTTCTTGAAATATAACTGTCAGAAAAATTAGTAAATTAATCTTGTAATATTTTCTTTAGAAATGAAATATAATTAGTTTTTGCTGAGACCTACTTAGTTTATCTTATATGGTGCACCCCAATTTTTAGGTGCATCTACAAATGTATTCCCCAAAATGAATTTCAAGCCCTCCATAATGAATGAATCTGATCTTTTGTAAATATGTAAGAAAGATTGGATAGAATACATGCTAATATACATTAATACAGGCACAAGAAGAATTTGGAGACCTCATACATCTATGATTATGAAATATTTAGAGCTTTTGTGTTTTTATGATTATGAAAGAAAGGTTAGTTGAGATCTGCATGATATTTTAAATTAAGACTTTCTCAACTCAAATAACATAATATTCATATGTGAAATTCCTATCTTTTGACAATGTTTCGTTTCAACATTTCATCATTAATTATGCAAATGACCTTCACATTGTAGTTGATAATTAGTAATAGTTTCTATGATATGATTTACCCAGGGGTATTTCCAGATTTTCAAAGTCCATTTTCTGGTCATTGTTTTAATGATTGTAGCAAGAAGATTCTGGTTCTGAATCAACTCAAAAATGCTCATATTTTGCCCCCAAACAGTTGAGGAAATTCCTTTTCTTCCTATTTGTTACAGTTTTTTCCATCTATCAATGCAGTGGTTTGATTAAAAGTTCAAAATTTATACTTTAAATTTTAACCCAGCCTTTTTTGTTGACTTCATGGCTAATATTGTAGCATTTGGGGCTATAATAGGATGCCTAGACCTGTTTTTATTTTCATTTTTTTTTTGCCCTGTCGCTTCATATTTTTTCTGAGAACAAACTAATTAAATTGGTGTATGTGGCCTACTGAAAGAAAATGAACTCACATTTCTGATGCCGATGTCCCAGAAGACTTCTCCATGGCTGTGATAGGCTGTGTGCGGAAACGTTCGTCTCTCCGCCGCTCCTTCGACGACATTTTCATCCTCGTCCTCCCCTCCTTGCCCGCGGGAGGTCCTCCCTTAGCGATGGCCTCAAACTTGGAGACCTTCTCCCCCAGCTTCTGGATCTTATCCTGTCTCTTGTTCCCGATCTTCTCCTCCAGTTTCTTGGTTCCCTCCTTCAGACTCTTGATCTTGTCGTCCAGTTTGCGAGCACTTTCCCTCAGAGACTCGATGACTGAGAAGCGTGGGGAGCCAGGTGTGGGGGTGGGGGGCTGCTTGGGTAACTCAGAAGTGGGCTCGGACTCTAAGTCCAGTTCTAGCGACAAGGGTGGCTTTCCATGGAACTTTGTGGGTTGAGGAGTCGAGTCAAACTCAGGTTGGACACTAGAAGAGAGGACGGACTGTTCAGCCTCTTTCACCACAGTGGACTGTTTCTCTTCTTCCTCTTCTACCTTTAGTTCTTGTTCTTTCCCCATCTCTCTGGCTTCCTGCAGGATTTCTTGTGCTTGTTCCGTTTCCTTCAAAACAGTGGCAGGCTGAGGAACAACTTTTACTGTATGTACGACTTCTTTCCTGGTACTAGCTGGTTCCTTTACTACTGGTTTGGTTTCTTCTATGGGTTCTGGCTCTTCTGGATACTGTTCTTCTTCTTGTATGGCTAAATCCACTTCTCTGATTGCTGCGAGTTCTTCTGCTGTGATTTGTGCACTTGGCTGTGTTGTGGTGTCTTCTTCCCCTGTCACTGCCCCCTCCTCACTTCCTTCTGGTTTCTCATACGACGGTCCAGCTTTTGACGACACTATACTGTCCATCTTCTTCCTGCCACTGTCCTCCACTGCATCTGTCCTCTTCTCCACATTACGATATTTCTCACTAACTTTAGCTTCAATTTTAATCCCCAGACCCTCCGGCTTCGCAAGTTTCACTTCTTCCACCTGTAGCTTGGTTCTTTGCTCCAGTCTTTGTTTCAGTCTAGCCAGTTTTTCGTCTAAGGTGCTGACATCTATAGGTGTGATAGCTGCCGCCGGCTCCTCTACTACCTTCAGCTCCACCAGTTTTTCTGTACTGCGTGTCCCCTGGACGTTTGTCTCTACCTCATCTACTGATGCCGTGCTTGCCTCTTCCTCCACCCTAAGCTCTGTCACAGGAGTGGGAGTTGTTTCGTCTGCATCACCGTTGATTTCTTCCGCCCCGGCTTTCATATATGTCAGGAAGCTGCTATGCTTTCCCTCTACGTCCGAGGTGTCCGATCGGGAAGAATCCGAACCTTTCAAATGCAAGGCTAGCCGCTTCTCTTCCCCTCCCAGCTGCCGCTTGACTTTAGAAGGTAGAAGGGGCCTTTTACTCCTCAACAGAGCTTCTGCCTTGGACGGTCTGGGGTCATCTGATAGCTTCTTTACCCTGCTGGCGTGAGTGTCTGACATGTGTCCTCCTTCATGTTCAGACTCTGTTGTGGAGTCTACTGCCACATCATCCTTCCTCGGGGACAGAGTTCGAAGCCGTGACACTCGGGGAACACCTGATAACTTGTCCACGTCTTTGACCTTGACTTGACCTTTCCTCATGTTTAGCTCCGTTAGTATTAACCCTGGTTTATCCTGAGTCTCTTTACAGACGTCCGGGGCTTGTTTCTGTGTACTTCTGGGCTGGACTCTCTGTTCTTGTTGAGAAGGCTGCTTGGTGAGCTGGATATATTTCTGTGTCTGCTTCTTGTCCGAGTCAGAAGTGTCTTGTTCGCTCTGTGAGCTCATGCGGTCTCTGGGCTCCACCACGGCAGTGTCCACGTACAGCCTGCTGGGGGAGGCCTCCCTGTCGCCCCCTGACAGCTCCTGTGGTACTGCAGACAGCTGTCCGTCAGTGTACACATCTTCAGGCACTGCTGAGATCTGGGAGAAGTCGGCAAACTCTTCTGTATTGGGACAGAAAACAAGTTCTGGGTTACTTCCATCAAAAGGGTATTTGTAACAGATCAAGGTACATTTTTGCAACTTTTCACTTAAGACTTTGTTCAAATTTTGTTAAGTATTCATGTCAGTTTTGGCCAGGGACAGTTTTTGTGGTTACCGCTTAGCAATTCTGCGTGCTAAAGGTTAATATTGGTTGCAGATTATTTGCTTCATTAACCTCATACCAAGACACTATATGTATTTGCCTGTATTAGCAGCGCCATCTATTGATCATAGTCGGTATGACAGCTCCAAACATCAGTACTGTTGTTACCAGAATGCTGACCTTCCTCTCCCCGCATGTTGAGTTTAGACAGAGCAATAGTTTGTAAATACAAGGAAATCTCCCTACAGGTTTGAGTGTCTTCTTATGGTTACTGAATCAGCAGCGCCATCTATTGATCATAGTAGGTAAGAAAGCCACTACTGTGTTATCAGACCTTCATCTCCTGGCATGTTGAGTTTAGACAGAGCAATAGTGTGTAAATACATGGAAAGCTCAGGTTTGAGTGTTTGGTTACTGAATTAGCAGCGCCATCTATTGATCATAGTAGGTAAGACAGCCACTACTGTGTTATCAGAATGCTGACAATTCCTATCCTGGCATGTTGAGTTTAAACAGAGCAATAGTTTGTAAATACAAGGAAAGCTCCTGACAGGTTTGAGTGTCTTCTTATGGTCACTGAGTTAGCAGCGCCATCTATTGATCATAGTAGGTAAGACAGTCACTACTGTGTTTACCAGAATGCTGACCTTCCTCTCCTGGCATGTTGAGTTTAAACAGAGCAATAGTTTGTAAATACAAGGAAAATTCACGACAGGTTTGAGTGTCTTCTTATGGTTACTGTATAAGCAGCGCCATCTATTGATCATAGTAGGTAAGACAGCCACTACTGTGTTTACCAGAATGCTGACCTTCCTCTCCTGGCATGTTGAGTTTAGACAGAGCAATAGTTTGTAAATACAAGGAAAGTTCCCGACAGGTTTGAGTGTGCTCTTATGGTTGCTGCATTAGCAGCGCCATCTATTGATCATAGTAGGTAAGACAGCCACTACAGTGTTACTAGTATCAGAATTAATGCTGACCTTCCTCTCCTGGCATGTTGAGTTTAAACAGGGCAATAGTTTGTAAATACAAGGAAAGCTAAGGTTTGAGTGTTTGGTTACTGTATCAGCAGTGCCATCTGTTGATCATAGCAGGTAAGACAGGCACTACTGTGATCTCAGAATGCTGACCTTCCTCTCCTGGCATGTTGAGTTTAGACAGAGTAATAGTTCCCGACATGTTTGAGTGTCTTCCTATGGTTACTGTATTAGCAGCGCCATCTATTGATCATAGTAGGTAAGACAGCCACTACAGTAACTGTGTTACCAGAATGCTGACCTTCCTCTCCTGGCATGTTGAGTTTAGACTTTCTCTTCTCTTCCTTCCGCCTTCGTCGCTGCTCTCTGCGCTCTCGGTCACGCCTTCTACGCTCCGCCACTTCCATATCACAAAAATCCCCTGAAGGAAACACAATATTTCACATCAGGTTCTGGGGGTTTTGAGAATATTTGTTACCTATAAAAACTGGGGGTTTGAGAACACTCAAAAGCACTTCATGGGCCATGGGGGGTTTGGGAACAATTGTTATGGACAGGGAGGTTGATATGGAACATCTATTTTGGAATGGGGGGAATGATGAGTGAAATATGCTGCATTTGCTCCCAAGCAAATGTTAACAAAATAGAAGTCATCATTGGAAAACTATAAACAACCAGAGAAAGAGATTCAAACCTTACAGTCTGGTCTCAGATTTGACATCTTGAAAAGGTGATAGTCACCTGTTATGTCAATCCTGCCACAAATTTCGTAAATCTTCATAAGGCCACAGCAAGTAATTTTTATGGATGACATCAGCGTGCGCATTAATTTTCACCTGATTTTGGAAAAAAAAACAAGAAATTTTGTTGCCTTCTGACAGTGGTCAGCATGCCAAAAATGGGCAAAGATGTCTGCTGCCATGCCGGAACATGGATGGCAGATAACTGTAAAGAGAGGAGACAGGAAAAGGCTGATTCAATGTTTTGTTTCTTACTTTGATGCAGTGATATGTGATGCTGACTGTGTATATGTGATGATCCCACCGAATAAAAACCATTTGTACAATATGATTGAGTCAAAATTCTAAAATGTAGGAACCTTGTTTTTTCGGCTCGCCAAGTTTGTTTTCACCCTCTCGCATTAGATTTGGAGTCTGCGGGGGATGTCATCCATAAAATTTACTTGCTGTGGCCTAAATCATAATTCATACCTGCATGAACCCTCCTGGGCTGGGACTCTGCCTGACTCTGGTCTTCAGTCTGGTCCTCACTAGTCCCCTCCTGTACAGGTACTACAGTCTGGGGATCTACCTCTGACTCCAGTCTGGGGGAACACAGGAAAGTCTTTTTATCCACATGACAATGGCATCCATAAAGATAGCTTGTTCATGTACACTCTCCAAAAGTTTAAGGTTTCCTCACTGGCTAATTTGGCATTTTAACTTTCCATCATTTTGTCACAAAGATATTTAGAAAGAACTGTAGTTGTATGAATATTGATACCTGGGTACAAAAGGGTTATGCATATAATTTTATGGACCATATGGATGATGTCATTATACTTTAAAAGTATGATTTTCAAATGCATAATGGTCAAAGCTACAAATGTAGGTTTGCACAAATTGATATCTACTAATTGCCCATAGTTACATGAATATAATTAGAGAATAACTAGCTTTTTAGGTTATTTTCTGTATGGGTAGTAGATATCGATTTGTGCAAACGTACATTTGTAGCTTTGACTATTATGCACAAAAAAATCATACTTTTATTGCAATTATTTGTACCAAAGTGCTGTATGATAACTTTAAAGATAATTACATTTGGGGCAATAAAATATGATAACGTCATCCTTAAGGTCCAAAAAATCATAATTATGCTTAACCCATTTGTACCCAGGTATCAATATTCACTACAACACTACAGTTCTTTCTAAATTTCTTTGTGACAAAACGATGGAAAGTTGAAATGCCAAATGACAAAGAGGAAACTTTAATAGACTTAGAATTTGGCGCTCTCACCGCATTAAGGCATGGGTTCGATTCCCAGCAAGCGTGAGAACCACAGTGACAAATGATGACGAAGTCAATGAGTGATAATGTGACTGATTTATGTTGTTTTTAACATTTCTTACCTTGTGTCCTTCTGTGCATCCACACTAGTCTGTTGTGATGTTGGTTTTGGTGGCTCCTCACTGTCTGGGGACAACATAGTCATGATGTCTGTTCTCTCCATAGGTAATGTCTCACTTCTCCTGTACCTAAAGTGGTCAACACAAAACATACATAATGATTATGTAATATTTTGCATCAAAAATTGACATATTTTGATGGAAAACTTTTTGTGATTGTAATTTAATAATCCATCCATCCACATAGCCATTTATCCATCCATCCATCCATCCATCCATCCATCCATCCTTCCATCCATCCTTCCTTCCTTCCATCCATCCATCCTTCCTTCCATCCATCCATCCATCCATCCTTCCATCCTTCCTTCCTTCCATCTATCCTTCCTTCAGGAATTCAGTCAGGAATTGTGATGTCATGATCGAATGAAGAGGCGAAATTGTGTGATATTTTTGTTCTTATGTCATTCTGTATCGTATGTGATTTTGTAATATTGTATACTCTCTGTTATTCGTGCTTTGTATACCCAGCATTGCCTGAAAAACAGGTTTTTATGTACCTGAGTGTTACTGCTGGTAAAATAAATAAAACTGAAACTAAACGTAAACTGAATTCACAGTACAGATTCTGAAGTGATGGCAAAAACTGAGAATATAAAAGTACCAGGAATATTGTAGTGATTTACAGTACCTGGCCAAAGTAAGAAGACAAGAAAACCTTGTGTACCTTCTGAGAGCTCTAGGTGAGGGTGTTGGATGAGGGGTGTCGACAGACAGGTCAGTCTGTGTCCTGCCGGAATGATGATCATCACTGAACTTTGCCACACTTTCAGCCAGGATAGCACTGAAAAGTACACAAACAAATTAAACCACTTTTAATCAAGGATATAGCACACATTTTAAGGCCATATTTAAGGATGACATCCCGTGTAGAGTTTCAAAATGCTGTGTAGGAAAAAATACTGTCTTTAACTTGCAAAATTCTGATACAAACTTGACCAAATATCCACTGAAAACCATGAAATATTTGGGTTTCACACAGGCCCAGTACATATTCTGCCAATGTGCTTCAGATAACCATCCTAAGCCAGGGCTCTAGCCCCATTTTTCCCTCAATTGCAGGAACTTTGTGGAGTCTCTACATCTTGATCACAGAGTGAACTGGTCAAGATGTTTTCAAAGGCTTGAAAATCCAAAATTTGTCACCGGACACCCCCCCCCCTCCAGATTGTGGGCAATCATGAACCTGAGCTGACAGAAAAAAAAAATTGAGCTGGCTACGAGAGCCCTGCCCTAAGCACACCACAAGCAATGCCACAGATGCAGCAGAATAAGTACACGCGCATGAGCACGTTGGCAGAACGCACTGCACCTGCGCAAAACCGGAATGTATTGTACATAGCACTTTGGCAGAACTTCTCATATAAGGATGTATTCACTCATATATGCCGTGGTTAACATCCTGTCTGTAGTTTCTAACTGTTATGTGGGAAAAAATATTGTCTGCAAGAGGCAAAATTATGATGCAACATTGACCAAAAATCCAAAGAAAACCGTGAAAAATTGGGGTTTGCGCAGGTGCAGTACGTTCTGCCAACGTGCCACCTGAATGTAAGACAATGTAACTATGGTGCCCCACCTGTCATGAGAACCTCTCCTGACCAGACGTGGACTCAGTCCAACAGGATGCTGTCCTACTCGACTCTCCACCTGGAGCATACATGGACATACAACACTGGTATCAGTGGCATAAATAGTGTGTTCGGCTCAGGACCAAGAAGTCGTGGGTTCGAATCCTACCATGTCACTGATCTTATGCCCTTTGGAAAGTCACTTTACACAACTTTCCTCACTTCAAACAAGTGGAAATGAGTACCTACATGTAGCTTCGGCTAGGGACGTCCCTCGGATAGAACGTTAAATGGAGGTCCAGTGTTTGGGAAGAGCCACACCCCATACACGTTAAAGAACCTACCGCAAAGAACCAATCAAAAAGAATAGGGAACCTTCCCGGTGTGAGTGGTTCACTGTGTTGTATTCTATATGGCTATGATATATAATATTATACTGACCTCTGAGCGGGCTGCAGCAATACTGAGCACACTCTCAGGTGAAGACCCGATGGTGAAGTTCCTGTTCTTTCCAAATCTGGCTCGATGTGCCTGGGCGTCCACTGCTACACCTGCAGTGGTACAAATACAGTTTTAGTGTTCTGCAATATTGCAGAATGTCACAATTTTGCGCTGCAATTCAGAAATACTATCTGCAAATACACACGTACACATTTTCCATGCAATTTGAAAAATATGTGCAAAATCACCTTGTGTATTATAGAGTCGGTAGTAAACACATTGAAAGCTCTTGAACATCATTGAACCCCTAACCCAAATTTTTCAGCCTGCAAAAACGCAGGTTGCTTAATTTTTCTTCTGCAATATTTGAAATGTCTCTGCAAAAAGCAGACTGCAGATGGGTAGTTCTACCACAGCTTTTAAAAAAGATAAATACTACTTCAACCAACCACCATTTCCTAAGTTTGTTTGCTTTCCTTGTTTAATTTGTTGATTTGAAAACTTGCTCATATAATTTACATTAATTTTGTATTTATGTTCGTAATAACTTACCCCTAGATTAATTAGTTTGATCTTCTTTATTTGTTCAGATAGATGATTTGTATTCTTTCAATAGTTCTTCGAATTGTTTCTGTTTATTTCCTGTTACTTTTGTCTTCTTCCTTTAAATTTTGCTTCATTCATGTATCAATGGTAACTTTTAATCTTGTAGTATTGGGAAGGGCCAAAGATAAACCAGCAGGTTTCCGGCCCTCCCATGCATGTCTACTTAACTTCAATTGTTATATTTCGTTTTATTTTGTGAGTGCAAAACAAGTTACAATAAACACTGACCTTTGTTGAGGAAGTCATATTTCTGGGCCAACTCCCTTCTCCTTTGTGCTTTGTACTTGGCTATCCTCTCAGCCCGCTCTACATCGTTTTCCTTTTCTTCTCTCATTCTGTTGTTTGGTTGGTACGACTCGAGGTCAGAAGTGGCCGGTCTGGAGGTGACGGTGGGGGGAGTCGGCTTAGCCGTGGAGGGGGTGTGGATTAGGGGGGATGCTGGCCCCCCTGGTACCTGCAAGGGGTACAGAATCAAGCTGTAAGATTCTGCACAAACAACTATGAAAGGGGTGCTAGTGTTGTGGAAATGAAAAGAAACCTACAGTGGGTGTCACTGGAAGACAGAAGAAAAATGTCCAGACTATGCATCATGTACAAAATGACTATTAAACTGGTTTATGTCCTACCTGGGCCGCGATTACGTTCGATACGGGTGTTCCGGCCCGTGTGATACATTGTAACTAGCGGTACGGCCCGGGGGTTCTTAACGCGTACAGCCCGGGGCTTCCAAATGTTCCATAGAACGATTCGAACGCATTTCGGCCTAACCGCGTGTACCGATTTCCAAATTCGAATACAGAATCCGGACATTGGAACTGATGTTGTCTCATTTTTTGGGTTTAGGGACCAAAATTTTCGCTCTTTTCGCATTGAAAGGTGCGTTTCCTTGGGTGGGTATGACATAAATAAAATACAACACGGTGTATTCCGCATCACCCTCGGTCCCAGCCCTCCCGCGGATCGGATCTCCCTCCGGCCTTCGGCTCCGACGCGCGGTCGGGCTGGTACCTCGGGCGATACGGAATACACCGTGTTGTATTCTACATGGATGTACCAACTACTAAGTACCTAGTAATACAAGCCCAGAAAAGAACAAGAAATAAGTCATGCCTTCAAATATCAGAGTTATCAACCAAGGATTGAGGTGTTCAAAAACTCACTCTTTCCTAGAACTATCGTAGAGTGGAACTCGCTGTCACCAAAAACAACAGGGGCATTATATCATTAGATAATTAATTAGGCCACACCAATTTAATTTCTAAGACTTGTTTAACGGATTCGCCGACTTCATTTTTTTCTGATTTGCAAAAAAAAAATCAGGATCAACTGCAAAATGCTCATTTAATTTTGACCTGAACCATTGAAACCAGTCCTTTTCTTCCTAGTTGTTACAGTTATTCCATCTTTCAATGCAGTGGTATCATTAAAAGTTCAAAATTCATTGTTTAAATTTTGAACCAGCCTGGTGTGTTGGCTTCATGGCTCCTATCGTACCATTTTGGGCCATAATAGGATGCCTGGCCTGTTTTTATTTTTTTTCGCCCGCCTGCTCAATTCTTTTTCTAGAAAAATCTGTTAACCAAGAAATTAGATTGGTGTGGCCTAATACATGATTGTAGCTTTAAACAATGTTTAGGTTTAGATATTCCAAGGGCAGTTAGTATACAGATACAGATACCTCTGGGCTAGAGAGGGGTCGGCGCTCAGGTGACCCTCCTGGTTTGACTAGTGCTGGCTGTTCTGTCTCATCTTTGGAATCACCAAATAACTGGCGAATTCTGGACACTGGAAAAAAAATATATAGAACAGTATCACAGTGGAGAAATCTGCAGACAACAATATTTTTTAAGATACTCATGATCATGCAGAGGTGGGAAGTTGAACAAAACATGCGAAGTATGAAAATAATCCTATAATAGGAAAGGAAACCTCTGGAAAGTAAAGAATTAGTTATATATCAACCTTCCACACCTTCCACCATCTGAAAGAGTACCCCTAACCAAGGAGCCCTAGCACACTACAAAGTAACTAACAAACTACACAACAATCTAAGAGAGAAGATAAACAAAAGAAAAGTATAATCAGTATAACAGTTACTGCAACACCTTTAACAGATTCTGAAACATTGCTGCTGCAATGAGAAAACTGCTTGATAAAGTATAGCTTACAACAACACAGAAAGTGTCAACTACTACAGGGTTAGTAGAAGGTATAGAGATCTGAGGTAAGACTATTTGAATGTATAGATTTCTCAGGAATACTTGTTTCTATTGAGACTGACATAGACAAAATGTCTCTACCAAACATCATTGATTCATATACTGGTCAGCTGCATGTATTTCACTAAGGCCACGCCAAGTTAATTTGTTGGTTTTCGGATTCGCCTCTTCATTTTTTTCTGATTTGCAAAAGAAAAAAGATTCTGGTTCTGGATCAACTCAAACATGCTCATATTTCGCCCCAAACAGTTGATGAAAGTCCTTTTCTTCTTAGTTGTTACAGTTTTTCCATCTATCAAATTGAATGCAGTTTGATTAAAAGTTCAAAATTCATTCAATATAAAAAATTTGTTTAAATATTGACCCATCCTTTTGTGTTGACTCCATGGCTCCTATTGTAGCATTTGCGGCTAGACCTGTTTTTTTTTTCCCGTCGCTTCATATTTTTTCCAAAAAAATCCGAGAAGCAACAAATCAAATAATTGGTGCACGTGTGTATTGTGTCATTCTGAAGAAAACTGTGACTGTCACAATTAGAGCTGTGTACCGGTACGCAGTACCGATACTGTACCGGAAAAATTGATTAGGTACAGGTCCAAAATACCTAATCCCTCAGTACCGGTACTGTACCTAAACAATTTCACACCAATTTTATGCCTATTTGTGACCTCAAATGGGTCCCTGTGTAAGGACAGTGTGTTCATGAAAACAAAAACATCTTTAGTTTTGCCTATATTTTATCTGAGCATTCGCCATAAACAAAGAATAAACCTTAACTAACAAGTTTATTAATGTTTTTTTGTTATTGAAGGAGTTCAGAAGAGCATATAAATTGGTCGAATTGTTCAGGTACAGGTTCAGGTCCGGACCTGTACCTAAACCTGTGTACCTGTACCTGTACCTGTACCTAAAATTTGTTTAGGTACACAGCTCTAGTCACAATGTTTTTCTATCCAATTTTTGTGGTTTTTCTTAAATACAAAATGGTTCCGAGTCTCCCAGATAAAGATACTGAGCAGACAGTGATGTGCTAGACACAGTACAGAAAGTCTCTTCAACTAATTTACAAACTTATAAGTTACATCTAGAAAGTGTAGCAATGTTACAGAACAATAGCCAGATGTTCCACCTCTAGTTGTAGCAAAGCAGCAAAGTAAGTCCCTTTCCAGTAGATGAAGACAGGAAAGGCAAGTACGGGTTGTCTTTGTACTGATTCCAAGCAAACATGACTGTGCCTCATGTGTCTAATACATGCATGACTAGTATCCTTCATTTTATGAGACAGTGTAGATTTTGAGTAGACTTTATATAATTAGCCCATATCTGATATCTAATGAACACATAGTATTACATGTATTAAAGCTCACACAGGCTGAGTATTCCACAGATTTATCTACTAAAAATACATACTACATTTACTACAAAGTGTTGAGTACAATTTTCCATCTTATGGCATTCAATACTGTACATTTTTTTCCAATCAATGATATCCTACTTTTATCAATCCCAATGTTTCTGCTAAAGAAATCTCAATGGAAACAAATATTAATTAAATATTAGCGTTTGAATCTTGCACTATTCTTTAGAATTAGAGTCTGCACCATATAAATTGATAGACACACTGATGATGAGATAACAGCATACTGCCCTGTCATTGACCAAGTATGGGGGGAGGGATAAAAAGCATCAAAAAGCAAAAAAAAGTTTGGACAAAAGCTGCATGTGACTGTGCTGCAAATGAGCTATGGACTGTTTGCATGAGGTTTACAATGGTATTTTAACAATGTTACAGATAGTCAACCTTGACAATTATGCAAATGCTTAAAATAACTATCTATCTGATGTCAGTTATTACAAATAATTACAGATTCATGAGGCAAAGCACTCTAATTATAAAATCTCCACAGCTGCAGCACCATGCACAATTTCCAATTAAGCTCCTGTCACACATTCAAGACCATCCCCCAACCTTGCCCCAACTAACAGCCAACAAAGGTTGGCTGAACTTTGTGAGCAGTCTGACCAGATTTAGGCCATGCCTATCTTTCTATGTAAATGAAATTGAACTTGAGTTAAATTTGAGTCAAATTAGGCCCCGAACACTGCTGACCGACTCCCGAACACCAGCCAACACCAGACAACCTTGGCCAAACCTCCCGTCCACACCCAAAAGTTTTAAGCAATTTGAAACAATTGTTGGTTGGCGCAGCGAAACAATGGCAAACCTCGCCAAAAACCATCCAACCACCAGCTTGAACCTTACTCCCGAACCAGGTTAGGGAAGGGTTGTTGGAAAAGACAGTCCAGTGCAGGATGCGGGAAAAGCAGTCTAGTCTGAAAGTAGGGTCAGCCTGCAGTGTTCAGGATGCCAAATTTGACTTACACAGTGTATGACAATTGCCATTGGGCGTAATACTAATAGATAATACTGGCAGCTGCTTGCTGATAGTTACTAAGTAAGTTAAAGACACCTGAGTGCATGGACAACTGAAATAGAAAGTGACGGTTAGTGGCTGTCAGTCACCTAGAACGTGAAGAAGAAACAAAAAAAGATGGAAATAAATGAGCGTGGAGGAGACAAGAGAAGGGACAGGGCGCGTGTGCTGGCACCGAGCGTACCGATGCCGCGTATGTCTTCCAGTCCCTCATCCTTCAGATCCTTCCCCCTGAAAGAATAGCTGCGAGTGAGCGGAGATGAGTCCTCTTCTAACTCGATTTTTGGCGTTCCTTTAACGCGTAAGGAGCCCCAGGCCCTTCCTGTCTTGCGGAAGACAAGTTTTTGTGTGGGTTGTCTTGTCCCTTCTTTACTGTCTTGTTCGGTGACATCCTCACCGCTTGAGGTATTTGGGAGAGGTTGTAAGTTTGTTTTCTTATAGGTGGAATAATTGAACAACTCTCGCAGGCGGGTACCTGGAAAATAGGAATTCCACAGGTCAAACGGAAATTGGTGAAATCTTGATTCAAGAAACACTTAATGAGTTATTAGCAAGCACTAATTGTTCTACACTAAGTCTATAAGTCAGATATAGTAGTAATCACATGCTGCATGCCATTATACAATGTAAATAACTACAACTATCGAAAATACATGTGTGTGTGACATTCTGTAAATTCAAACTCCAATCAGCATTTGTCATACTTTCTTCACAAAGTAATACCTTGGAGTCCACAGATTGAAATACTTTGTGAGTATACACTGTAATGTATTATAATATTATGTATTTCAAGAGCTGTACTGTACCAGAATCCTGTATAACATTATATCAATTTCACAATATGAGATAGTACAACAGGGCTGGAAATACCACCTGCATATGCAGGTTAGTGCAGGTAAAATTGGAGCTGTGCAGGTATTTCTGGTCTACATTGTAGCTGCACCTACATTGAACCTGCACCAGTCCTACATTGTACATTTTTGTACCTGCACCATCCCTATATATATTGGGTACATACATTGTACATGTAAAATAAGTGTCTGGATTTATGCATTCTGTACTGTTTGTTTCCACCTACACTCAGTTTCTAGTTTGATCTATTCTCCTAGTATAAAATTGCAGGTAAAATTTGTCTGATGCAAATAGTTTTCAATGCAGGCATCCAGAGAAAAATATTTCGAACCCGGTACAAGCATACAGTTGGCTGTGTAAAGAAAACTCCAGGACCTGTATCTTATACTTTACCAACCTGATGAAACTATTGTAGAATATTTTTTGGTCCCTGTGCTGAAAGTAGATACAGAAGGAAGCAACTGAACAATGTTACATTAATATACAGTTTTAGCCTGGATGCCAACCTTTTCAGCTTTAGAACACTATCTCGGTCGCCACCTTGCTAAAATGACCTAGGACCAGCAAATGTTTTGTCTGGTGATGTCAACATCATCATATTATAATTACATGCCGATGCAATTGTCACTGGGCAAGGCCTCTGCTGATTGGATAATCGGGTGAAAGCTCTCAGGTTTGGCCAATGAGCTCACCTGTTCAAATTCTGAATGACAGATAAAATACATGAGGGCCAGTCTTTTTTGACAGGTAGCAACTGAGAAAACATAAAGCTACAAAGGCTGTATATCCAGGCTATGAAGGTTCTACCAGTGTGATGTGAAATATAATATTCCATACCTGAACTGCCAGTGATGACTTCATCCTCACCACGGATGGACAGTCTCTGTGGCACCACAGCTGGCCTCTCTGCCAGGGTCACAGGCTGGGTACTGTACCTGAACATATGAGGAATATTGTATATAATATCAAATTATGTAGTGTTAAGGGGAAAAAGAGGTTTGATAAAACCCTGACATTATATCATACATGGTATGTCTGAAAAGTGATTTCCTACAAATAGATTGCTAGTCCATCTTGTTAAGAGCGCTACTGACTGTTTGAAGTTTCGGTGAACACCTAGCCGAAACTTCAGAGGAACTAGTGTTGCACACACCTCACATGCAAAAGATGCTCTGAATTTGTTATTCATACGCTACATGTGCAGCACAGTAATCTTGCAAAGTGTGCGCATGGCAGAAATGTCTGTGTGCAACTCGTACACAATGATGATACACAGAAGTGTGACAGGCCTTTAGGCAGCAGGGAGTACATTGTACAATGTACTACCAACAGTATTACCAGGATATGGCACATGCACAACTATTATGTAAACACTGTCTAGATACAGATGATGAATTATAAAACATCCTGGTATGTTGACTTTATGGCTTTCGTTGTAGCATTTAGGGCTATAACTAAACACTAGGATGCCTAGGCCTATTGTATTTTTCACCCAGTTATCCCTAAATTTTCCCTGAAAAAAATCTGAGAACCAACCAATCAAATTGGTGTGGCCTAAATAAAACTGTAATAAAATTTTGCGCATGCCGCCACCGCGAAGATAGTTCCACGAACATGTCCATTTTTTTCTGACCACTAATTTTTCTTACCGCAACAATTAAGTGAATTAGGCCTAGGGAAAAAATGTCAACTGCCAAGCCTAAGACTTTTTTTCTGTGGACCCCTGGAAGGTTAGTTTTTGACCTGATCAACCTTTTCTACATGAAAATCCATGATCTGACACCTGAGTGATAAAACGTTGTACAATCAGTTTTCCAACATGCAAATTGACACTGAAAATATTTTACTTTGATTTGTTACACCGTATCGCCGTATCGTATAAGCTAGGAGCTTCAATCACTTTTAAAAAAATAAAAAAAATAAACCCTACCTACCCTAATTTTTTCAGGACTGAAACAGGAAACAATTTTCCTAGGCCTTACAGTAATTGCTAGGCTAATTATAAGCGTGGTATATATATGCCTCCATAGCATGCCAAAAACTGGGGGTTTTGGGGGGGTCTTCAGGGTCTTTGGGAGCTTTTATGCTATTTTCTGATTGCATAACATAGCCGGCCTGGTTGAATTACCCCCATTTTCTAAAACTGCGCCAATCAGAAAGCAGTCGAAGACCATGCCACCAAAGAGGGCCTGCAAGCCCTTTTTCGTAAGGCGTAATCAGGCCGTTTTAGACTTTGTACTTTGTAGGCAGTCTCCGCAAAAATCAACGTAATTCGTAATTGGACATTAGCCGCAAATCGTAATCAGCTCTGAGACTTTAACGTAATTCGTAATAGGCGGCGAAAATTTTGCGTAATTCGTAATCACTACCCCCCCTTGCAGGCCCTCACCAAACCCCCAGTTCTATAAGCCTGCTGTGGAGGCTAGGTATGTATGTAACAGTCAGTACGTACCTGGTAGATCTCCCCCGGACATGTACAGGAGACCTCACCCTCTCTTCTGATGACAAACTCTGCTTCTTCTTGGTCGGCTGTCCCTTGGATACATCTGGAATACACAAAACATGTCATTATGGGCAATCCTTCACATAAACCATACTTCGTGAAGTCGTGTAGCGAAGCAGCAGCATGTTTAGCTCACACCCAGGAGGTTGAGGGTTCGAATCCTGCCCAATGCCACAGATCTTGTGCCCTTGGGAAAGGCACTTTACACGACTTTCCTCACTTTACTCACTGACAGGTGGAAAAGCTTCAGTTAGGGATGTCCCTCAGATAGAACGCCAAATCTGTATCTGTATCGGCATCAGGCCAGTATAACCGCCAATCGGCGTAACACACCAAATGAAGGTCCCAAGTTTGGGAGGCCACACCCCACGCACATTAAAGATCCCACCACACTTATCAAAAGGAGCAGGGGTCCTTCCCGGTGTGAGTGGTTTAAACCTTACAGTCTGGTCTCAGGGTTGACATCTTTAAAATGTGATAGTCGCCTGTTATGCAAATCCTTCCACTAATGTGGTAAATCTTCATAAATAAATAGATAAATTAAAAATATACCGCAGCAGAATCTATTTATTAATATTTACGAAGCTACACCACATTTGTGAAAGGATTTGCATAACAGGCGACTATCATATTTTAAAGATGTCAAACCAGCTGAGACCAGACTGTAAGGTTTGAACCACTCACACCGGGAAGGACCCCTGCTCTTTTCTATAAGTGTGGTGGGATCTTTAAAGTGCTTGTGCAATTGTTATGCAATAATGTTCTGTAACCTAGTATGCTACCTATGTCCTACCACTTATGTTTCTAATGTCCACGTACTTACAATTACAATGTAGCCCTTGGGCAGGCAAGAACTCACAAAATAAACTTAATATCATACACATAGTAATAATGGGAAGAACAGTACTTGATGAATTGTAATTTCAAAATTTGAAAAAAAAATATAGTTATCAATATGTCTACTCATTATTGGTTGGCTCTATCTGAAAGTCATTGATTATACATGGCCCTGGATCAATTCCAAAATTATATTATAATAGAAATAACCAAATATAATTTTCAAAGTAACGAATAGAGCCCATCATGTGAACCAAACTTAATTTTCCACTTCAATGATCAACATGTACACTAGTACTGGGTTTTCATTAACTTACTTAAACTTTAAGCCTTCCATTTTTAATTTAAAAATTTAATGCTTTGACAAAAAAAGATCCCTTAAGCTTGTCTCCAATTTGATAATTTCCAATTTTTATTTTCATTTTTATTCTTGTATATTTTTAGTAATTGTAAAAGCTGCTTAATTCAGACTCTCGGCTGCAAAAAAAGCTTCCAACTTACTGCATTATGTACTATGTATGTCTGCAAATAAACCAGTCAGATGTCTTTATTATAAGTTTCTAATTGAAAATTGCAGCTTGTACAATCATGTATTTCATAGACTGTCTCTATTTTAGTACATCCACACAGTAATATGATCAATGAAGACTATATTTATCTTCCCAAATACACATCCAGAACCAAATTTAGAGCCTGCCTAGGAACAGTTCTGAGAAAAATTCCCACCCGACAGCCACCCCACCCATGTAATTCCTAAACATGCCTGCCATAAATTGTAGAGCGAATGTAGAAATATCTGGCAACTACGTGTTAACATACACAGAGTGGACCCCAGACACTGATGTACTCTCAATTAAACATCATTACCACATTACACATACCTCAGGTCAACTGTCTGGTAACACACATAGCTGCAAGTCAACCAAATGTACAATCCTACCTGTTTATGTGTATGATACTAGAAGGAAGAAGAAGGTCTCATTCAACGACTTGCGGAACATAGTGGTGGCGCCCATCTCCATTTCTGTAGCCCTTGGGCCACACAGTTATGCAAGCACTACAGCAGGGGGCTAGTCCGCTGGTAGTGTTGTTTGATCTTTCCCATATACATGTAATACTATTTCTCATACATGCTGAATGCTATGCAGAGAAAACAGTATGTACCCATTCTTATATAAAGTCTTTGGTATGACCCAGCCGGGATTTGAACTCACGACCTCCTGGTTACACAGTGAGCACTCTTCCTGATAGAGCTACCGGGTATTGCACCGGTTTTGTATTAATCTATAGGAGAAATAGAATAAGGCCCTATGCCACTACATTTATAATTACTGGATTAACTTAAAAAATACTCCAATCAGCAACATTAACTGTTGATTCTATAAACTCTTAAGAAAACATGGGCTTTGAAGCGGTACATGCTATAACATTACTTATCTCATAGAATTTGTATTAATTCAAAATTAGTCATGGTTTTGCTTCTTATTCCAAATGACGTTTTTAAACTCTTTCCTTATGGTTTCTTTCTTATTCAGAGCTGATGCACAATTGTATGATATCTTATTCAAATTCTAAAGCTGAAATGATATCATGAACCTGACACCAAGAAAAAGACAGTCAATATCAATAATAACAAGATATTTGTCAAATATAGCAGAACAAGTTCATCTGTATCCCTATTAATAAAGTATTATGGAACTTAGAAACTGCACTTTTAAACTTTGAAAACTAAAATACATAAAAAAATTCACATGATTGTATCATGATGTGCATAAATCATAGATAGAACAAGTTTCTTTTATACTAAGAGTTTTTCAAGAATCCCCTGGATGAACTTCAAGTACATGGACAAAGAACTAGCCTGCAAGAGTTCCACAACTAGTGAGTGTACCTAAACCCACATTTAGGTCCAGGTCCGGATTCAAGTCTAGAGGTTTAGGTTCAGTTCCGGACTTGTAAGTCCAGACCTAAACCCATGGCATATACAAAATTGCATTATTGTTTGGGCAAAACTTTGGCCACATAACATGGAGGCTGACACTTGACGATGCCCGATGGCAATGTTTTTTTTTCATCTTGCAGCACATGTTTTGCAATCTATGGAAGGTTTTAGGTGGTTTGGAAAGAAAAGGGGTGTGTGACGTTTTGTAATAAGTCTGGACTCGGTTCTTGAAGACTTTTAGTTTCTTTTGGACTTGAACCTACAGATTTTCTACAAATCCGGAACCGGTCTAGCGAACCAGTACACAGCACTATTCACAACGTTAACTTATACAGGAGAAGACCATGAGCTACCCTAGCAGCTGGTTGACTGTATGGAGACAGGAATGTTCCCGACATGATTGTAAATGGTGTTTACTGAGACATGATACTGTCACATGACATTAAATCAACACGACATGCCAAAAACATCCAAGCCTGGGACAGACTCAAGTCTACAGACTAACTCTGTACTTTACATCTACTTATTTGAAGGAATAAACCCTACAATGTGAAATATTAACATCTTACAAGCCATTAATATAAGAATTTGACATAATATGAAATTGGAATGAGTTACATAATGGATAAGATGATAGATGAGGTTGAAATATAATACAAATATCATCTTGAACCATATGCGACTGACAGGATTTTTCTTTCTTCCACAAGTTGACACACACGTGTATAAGACATCATAGTTTAGTATCCTAATTGCTAAGTCAGTACTTAAGGCCAGGCATTGTCAGTTGGGAGTAAAGCTATTCTCCTGCCTGATATCAGCAGGCATGACCTCTATGGGAGGAGCTAAATATGGAAACGGGTGCTTCAAAATGGCCTTAACTAATCACAGAGCTACACAGACAGTTAGAAACTCCACAAACCGTACCTGATTCTTTCTTTCTTCCCTCCTGTAAACCCAGGACGTCAGCCCACCAAGGGGAGATAGCGTTCTGGATGTTGTTAAGCATATTCCTCGTCACCTTGCACCCCTCCCAGTGTAGCAGTTCACCAGGCAATAGCACATTGCTGATAAGTATGGTCAGGCACTATGAATAACTATCAACAGTGCATCAAATGTCACCCCGGCTGTCAAATATAGACAACTGCCTCGCCTGTCCCACAGCTGAGTGCGTCACCAGGAATTCAATGAGTGGACTGCTTTGCAATTCTCAGTTCCATGGACTGTAGCAGTCCTATAGAAACATTATGTACTGTACAAAATGAACAACTAGTGCAGAAAAATTAACGGTGGTCCAATGGCCACTGACCACTAAAATTTAGGCTGGGACAACTAAAAAGACAGTTTGGGAATTTTTGGGACAATAGAAAAATAATAAACATCAGAATGTCAGCTCTTCTTTTGTTTATTAGGCACACATCCCAGCTTTTGGATCCGGAAAAGTCTCCCCAAATTTCCTGCAATTATAGCTAGTGCAAGTGAACATGAGCAAAATAAAGTTGACGTCAAGTTGAAGTCTACAGTGGCACAATACTTCCCAAAAAACAAGTTGGGACAGTTCATCCTCACTTTGGGACAATTGAAATTTAGTTTTGGGACAGTGCTGGGACAATAGGAAGAAAAGTTCATTTTGAGACCTGTAGTGGACATACCAACTACTAACTACTACTAGTAGGTAACTAATACCATCTCAAAAAGAATTAATAAACAGTCATGCTCCAAATACCACAGTTATCAATCAATTAATCTTGCAAGGATTGAAAATTTACTGAAAAACTAGTCTAGAGCAGAACTTACTGTGCCACCAGATACAGTTGGGGCATCATTACTAGATACAGGTAGCTTTTAGACAACGCTTACTCTTACTAGTCTTAGATGTGCAAAAGTTACATGTAGGTGTAACAGGTCGTTCAGTGTAATATAGCTAGCTGCCACCACGCCCAATGCCTACAAACTTATTAATTCAAAAGCTGGTGTGTTACGCTGAAAGGCAGTAACCAGAAACTGAGATTTAGTATCACAATATTTCACTTTCAACACTACTGTATACATCTCTAAACTTACTCTATAGATTTTCAACTTGAACTGAAAAAGTTATCCGGAACATGATTCTTATTTGAAGCAGCTGTTTTCATACCAGACAATATCAGAAAGACAATATCAGTTATTTATTATGCTAATATGGTTGTAATTTGCATAAAAAAACATAAATTACATGTTCTTTGTTTTGTTTGTTTCCCATAACCGGTAAACCTCCTTTAGTC